AGATGAAACCGAGTGGGAAGTCATAGTTAACTACATATATTTATGATCAATTGAAGGTTCAAACTTAAACAAAGCTTCAACCTTCAAGGCTTCAATAAATTGCAGTGCACATCTATGAAGTTATTGCATGAACTTTACCTATTTCATTAAGCTAATGAACATATAAGAAGAATTTATTGTAGCTCTCCTGATCACAACTAACCTGATTATTCTTGGGATAAAAATAAGAAAATTCTTACCACAAAAATTGAATATACTAATCTCCCAAAAATGGCAAAAAAAAAAAAAAATATACACTCCATATGCATCTAAAGTAAATACTCCATATGCAAGCAAAAGGTTTCTCTCAATACAAATTCTCTCAATACAAATCGTCAGTGGATGGCTATGGCATTATCGAGCAGTGGTGATTGCGGTCTATGGTGCCAATTAGAAATCGTTCCGGCACAATTTCAAGTAGCGGTAAAGGTGGCCCGTGGCGTCTCTGTCATTCGACATATGATTGGAATGTTTCTTGACGGGAGAACAATCAAGAGTTCTCCCCCCTTGGGCTCGCAATCCCCATCAATAACCATATTGTGAGTAAGGAAAGGAGGGAAGCAACACACACATGATGCCTGTTAACTTCTGGAATTTTTTGTGTTCCTCCTCGGACATCATTTTTGCTGTAAACCATAAGAGATATACAAGGAATTTGGTAATATGTCTTCTTTTGAAAATTCTAAGAGGCTGTATCCAGTATACTCGGGGGCACCGTGTCGCCCTCCTATTTTTTGCGCGAGGAGTCCTTATTGTATTTTTCATCAATCTTTTTATGATTTGCAAGTTTAGTCCCTGTGATTTTTTTTCTCCCTATTTTAAAAAATATCTCTAATCTTTAAATGACCATATCTCATAATTTGAAAAGAATTAGAGAACGTGTTATACATAAAAATTATAGTACTCGTTGAGATCTATTCAACAAGATCCATATCCAATATTTTTTTCCAACTTAAAAATGATCAAATTTCTTTGGGCAGAATTAAGTTGGATATCCAGTACAAACAAGTTGGATAATCAGAATACACACAGTGGATAACCAGTTCAAACAATTTGGATAAGCATGTAAATCCGTTGGATAACCAGTTAGAACACATTGGATATCCAATTTAAGAAGATGGATAACCAACTTATTTTGAATTCATATTGTTGTGTTCCTTATATCTTTTGATCCGTAAAGAATTATAACACGAATTATATATGAAATTTATAGTGCTCGACGAGATCTATCCGGTAAGATCAATGTTGAATATTTTTTTTGAACTTTAAATGCATTTCAATTTTACGGGCAGAAATGAAGAAATGTGTTTTTCATTTTTCTTTGAAAAATGGTTATCCGTTGTGCTCCTACTGATTATCCAACCGGTTTGGACTGATTATCCATTCTGTTTGTACATGTTATCCAATCATATTTTTGACATTCACTCTTCAAAAAAAAAAACAAAGAAAGAAAGAAAAAATGATTGGATAAGCATTGCAAATAATTTGGATAATCAATAGAAAATAATTGGATAATCAGTGCAACACGTTGGATAATTAGTACAAAAAAGTTTGACAATCATTTTCATAAAAGAGCAAGGAAAAAAAATAATGGATAACCACCACAAAGAAGTTGGATAATCAATATGAGCACATTGGATATCCAGTTTAAAAAGATGGATAACCAACTTATTTTACATTCATAGTGTTGTGTTCCTTGTATCTTTTGATTCATAAAGAATTATAACACGAATTATATATGAAATTTATAGTGCTCAACGAGATCTATCCGATAAGATCAATGTTGAATATTTTTTTTGAACTTTAAATGCATTTAAATTTTACGGGCAGAAATGAAGAAATGTGTTTTTCATTGTTCTTTGAAAAATGGTTATCCGTTGTGTTCATGCTGATTATCTAACCGGTATGGACTGGTTATCCAATTATATTTTGACATTCACTCTTCAAGAAAAAAAAAGAAAGAAAGAAAAAATGATTGAATAAGCATTGCAAACAATTTGGATTAATCAATAGAAAATAATTGGATAATCAGTACAAAAAAGTTTGACAATCATTTTCATAAAAGAGTAAAGAAAAAAAAATACTGGATAACCACCACAAAAAGTTGGATAATCAATATGAACCCATTGGATATCCAGTTTAAAAAGATGGATAACCAACTTATTTTACATTCATATTGTTATGTTCCTTGTATCTTTTGATCCGTAAAGAATTATAACACGAATTATATATGAAATTTATAGTACTCAACGAGATCTATCCGATAAGATCAATGTTGAATATTTTTTTTGAACTTTAAATGCATTTAAATTTTACGGGCAGAAATGAAGAAATGTGTTTTTCATTGTTCTTTGAAAAATGGTTATCCGTTGTGTTCATGCTGATTATCTAACCGGTATGGACTGGTTATCCAATTATATTTTGACATTCACTCTTCAAGAAAAAAAAGAAAGAAAGAAAAAATGATTGAATAAGCATTGCAAACAATTTGGATTAATCAATAGAAAATAATTGGATAATCAGTACAAAAAAGTTTGACAATCATTTTCATAAAAGAGTAAAGAAAAAAAAATACTGGATAACCACCACAAAAAAGTTGGATAATCAATATGAACCCATTGGATATCCAGTTTAAAAAGATGGATAACCAACTTATTTTACATTCATATTGTTATGTTCCTTGTATCTTTTGATCCGTAAAGAATTATAACACGAATTATATATGAAATTTATAGTGCTCAACGAGATCTATCCGATAAGATCAATGTTGAATATTTTTTTTGAACTTTAAATGTATTTAAATTTTACGGGCAGAAATGAAAAATGTGTTTTGTGTTTTTCTTTGAAAAATGGTTATCTGTTGTGTTCCTACTGATTATCCAACCGGTTTGGACTGATTATCTATTCTGTTTGTACTTGTTATCCAATCATATTTTTTACATTCACTCTTCAAAAAAAAAAAAGAAAGAAAAAATGATTGGATAAGCATTGTAAATAATTTGGATAATCAATAGAAAATAATTAGATAATCAGTACAAAAAAATTTGAAAATTATTTTCATAAGAGAGCAAGGAAAAAAAAATACTGGATAACCACCACAAAGAAGTTGGATAATCAGCATGAACACAGTGGATAACCAGTTTAAAAAGATGGATAACCAACTACAAAATAAATTGGATGGATAATCAATATGAAGTGGATGGATATCTAGTACAAGAGAGTTGGATATCCAGCACAAACAAATTGGATATGCATACAAACCTGTTGGATTACAACTACAATATGAAGTGGATGGATATCCAGTACAAGCGAGTTGGGTATCTAGTACAAACGAAATGGATATCCAGTACAAACAAGTGGGATATCCATTACAAACAAGTTTGATAGCCATACAAACCAAATGGGTGGATATCCAGTACAAAGAAGTTGGATAACCAGTTCAAACTGATTGGATAATCACCATGAACACAATGGATAACCAATTTAGAACAAGTTGGTTATTAAAACTGGATATCCACCTCTATTCTGTCCATCAGAATTAAGTCATTTTTAAGCCCAAAAAATATTCACTATGGATTTTGTTAGATAGATCTCGACGAGTACTATAAATTTTATATATAATTCGTTCACAAATTCTTCACGGATGGGGAGATATGCTCGTTGAAAGATTAGAGATGTTTTTTTTGGAAGAGAGAAAAAAAATCACAGGGACTAAACTTGTAAAATATAGAAAGATTGATAAAAAAAGTACAATAAGAACTAGAAATGCAAAAAATAGGAAGGGGTACGCGGTGCCCCGGGTATACTGGATAAATTGCCAATTCTAACACTTTGCTTTCTCACAAATCAATCAGCTATTGGAAGAAAAATAATGCTTAATTAATTTACAACCAAAAAAAGAGGAGACTCGATCGTCTATTCAATTATTTTTAGAGGATCACACCCGGCCGCCTTAATTTAACAGGTTTGATCTTAATCCAATTAATAATGTATTAATGACCGGCTCAACTCCCAAGTACTTGAGGAATTAGTTATTCATTGGGGAACAAACGTGATTATAAAGTTTGAATCAAACCTTAACTAAACTAATCATATGCTGCTTAATTTAGTGAACAATGTTTGAGCTAACACTAGATTACTATATTTAATTACTACCAACCTAGTAATTAATACCAGTATTTTACAACATTCTATTTTACTTTTTAACACATCCAAGATCCAACACATAAGGAGCAGTCAAATTGATATGGAGCCCCTAGCTAGGAATAATTGGTGAAGAGCAAATCAATCAAAGCTAATGGAAACAAAACGATTAATAATTAAAAAGCCCCATAACCTTTGTTACTTATTTCTCTCTGTCCCCCGAGATGTTTGGATTTTTATTTTTTAGGTCAAATTATACAAAAATAAAAATAAAAATAAAAATTGAACAATTATTCTGGAATAAAGGTGTAAGAAGTTCAATACTACTCATTCAATGTTGAAACGCGAATTTGTTAATTATGTTTTATGGTTCTCACTTTTTCGAAATGATTGTTTACTTTCGAATATGTTAATATAAAATTTGGACGTATGAGCATTCTTCTTTGTATTACAAAAAAAAAAAAAAGATAGTTCAATTTAGATTTTCAGTTTTAGTAATAAAACTCGGATATTTATAGAAGCTGAAAAATGCTATGCAATTTCTAATATATTTTTTTTATTAGTAGCGGGTAAGAATGCAGTACAATGGGAGCTCGAAAAAGGCCAGTTAAATATACGACACCAGAAAATTGGGCCTATTAAATCCAAAAGCCCAAATTGTGTAATTTTATCCAACATTTCATGGCTAACAGCTGCAGTTCATCTTTTATTGTTCATCAAACCCTTCTAAAACCCTCCAAGACATTATGGAATTCAGCATAGCCTGGAAAAATGTTTGATTAATCTCACGGAAAAAAGCTCAGAAATCACTCTCAGAAATGGCAATTTCCACTGCTTTTGGATACTCCTCGTGCCGCCCCTATTACTTCTTCGTCCGGTCTCCTCTCCGTTCTTGCCTGCAGAATGTACATTTCGACATCTTGAAATTGAAATTGAAGTTTATCTATAACTTCATATTCAATAATTGCGATGAAAATTCTTGTTGTTGTTTCATTTACTGTTGTGCAGGTACGTGTGAGCTGCTCTGCAGCTATTGAGGCGGTTGTTGATGAGGCCGATAATGGGAAGAGTAAGTGGGCATTTATGTTGTTTACATGGAAATTGTTTTTTTTTCTTTTTTTTTATAATAATCTGATAATCTTATTTGTTTGAAATGTTTGTTTTGGATTAGATGTAAAGGGAAATACTGGTGGTGATGGTGGCAAAGCGATCCGTTCAAAGAAGTTGAATTCATCCAAGCTTGGGATCACTAATTCAATGATTCCCAGGACTGCCAGGGTGGTTCTCAACAATCTAAAACGAAAAGGTCTTTACTATTTTTAAGAATTTTAAAGTCTGGTTTTAAGTTAGTTTTTGTAGTTTCAACTGGTGAATGAATTGGAATGACTGAAAAGGGACTGGGATTTCAGCCTTGTAACTAGTTTTTTATAATGTATTTATAACACTTGAATAATCTATGTGTTGACTCAATCTAAACCTGTTTTTGTTTTCTGGTCGGGTAAAGATTAGGATAAAATTCAGTTTCCTAGATTCATGTGTTGCTGCTTGTCTATTGTTTGCTCGACGAATGATTAAACTTAGCAACTCGATTATGTCTTCGGGCTTTGGTGTCAGTTAATGTTCAAGACTTACCAGATTTCAGCAGTAGGAAATTGTTTTTTGGTTTGGAAACGCATCATGTTAAATAAACCAAAAAGGAATGATGAACTTTCATTAACTTGTCTATCATCCGTCATTTTTCCATTTCATTACTTCTCTTTGCCATTTCATTTTCCTCAACTACTGCAAATTGTAATTTTAGTATTCTAAAACTTTCAGTGGACACTAGTCTAAAATTTTTATCTGCCTATTTTGTTTTCTTCCAGTGGTTGGTTGCTTTCTTTTCCATAATCAAATTAAATCTGATTTGTTATCCTCATATTAGCATGAACATATTTGCAGTCCTTGTTGTACTTGATGTTTAGCTCGACCAAATACTTCACCTGCTGCAACATTTGATGTAGGATTTGAGGTTTATCTTGTGGGAGGCTGCGTAAGGGATCTTATCCTGAAAAGAACACCGAAGGATTTTGATATAATTACTTCAGCTGAACTTCGAGAGGTTTGTCTGGACTTTGTTCCTAGTTTTATGGCGCATGAAGAATTATTTCATCGCTGCATCTGCATTCTTAAGAAATAATCTTATGGCGAATTCTGTTCTGTAAAGTTCTTGGTACATGTTCATAATTGTTAGAATAAGCAATTACAGTTTTGCCTTTAGTTTATGCAAAACTAAAGTTGTTGGGACTATTTCCTACTAACTCTCAGAATCCTTGAAATTAATAATGTTGGTCCCTTCAATTTTCTTTTTCTTTTGCTACGGTACCATAAGGTTTTCATTGATCATAAATATCTTATGTAATACTCCCTGCTTTCCTTAATTGGTGTTCTGTTTGTAATCTTTATTTCTCCCCCGAAAAAGTAAAGTGTTCACTTTTCTTTCTAAGAAATTCCATGCTGTCATTACCTATATGGTTTGCTATGAATAAGTATTGGGTACAACCGTACACGTGGAAAAAAAGGGTGATATACAGTTTCTTTTATGCCCAGTGCTTTGAAAACCGTAAACTTCATTCTTTGACATTTGGGTTTTATTTGGGACAAAGGAGTATCTTTTTTTTTAGCTTTGACATTTTTCCTTGTAAAACTGGAGGATGCAAGTTCACCTGGTTTAATCTGTAATTTGAAGTACAAGAATGTATGTTCGAAGCCTTATGGATTTTTAAAGATTTGGAGGTAACAGTTTTCTTCACAAAAATACAATTGCAGGTGAAGAGAATATTTTCAAGATGTGAAATAGTTGGAAAGAGGTTTCCTATCTGCCATGTCCACATTGATGATAGCATTGTAGAGGTTTGACACTTAAATCTTATTACTGATAATGAAAGTTAACTGTTACGTATACAGTTCACGCAGAAGATTTATTTATTTTTTAAATTTAACACAGGTTTCGAGCTTTAACACCTACGGCAGAAATAGTGGAAAATACTTAAATTTGGCTTCTGAAAAGCATGTCTTCTGTGATGAGGCGGACTATACTCGATGGAGAAACTGCTTGCAAAGAGACTTTACAATAAACGGGTTGTGCATCTGACCCTTTCATCTCTTTTAAGAAATGATACTACCTAAGAAAAACCATCATGTGATTTACTCCTTGCAATGCTGAGTGTATGGAGGACATCTTGAAGCTCTCTTTTACTTTCATGTTTGTTTGTCACCAATCTTCTTTTTCCTTTCTTGCAGATTGATGTTTGACCCTTACGCAAAGTTAATTTATGACTATGTTGGAGCAATGGATGACATAAGGAAAGCTAAGGTGTGCATGTATCTGTACTGAATAAGATTTTCCTACTGTATTCTTACCATTGCATTGTGTCCTTAGATCATATTTCCTGTTGCAGGTGCGAACTATTGTTCCTGCTGAGATCTCATTGACTGAAGATTGTGGTAAGTCTTTCTCAGCATATAAGCAATCAAACCCGGACCACCCCACCCAACCCCCCTCCCTCAAAAATAAGTATGGACAAATAAATTGAAAGTATGTTGATTGTATTTGGTTCCATCTGATAGTTTTCTAGAGTAGTTTTATCTGTAGTCATGTCTGGCAGTGAATTTCTTGTTATCAATGCTATATTATGTTGTATCAAATATCCTTGTGTCAAACTGATATAAATCTTTAGGAAAACTTATACCTTTGCTTTCCCTTTTGTGCTGAAATTTCTTTTGCTTGCTTTGCAGCCCGCATTCTCCGTGCTATTAGAGTTGCTGCTCGTTTACAGTTTAAATTTTCTAAGGAGACAGCTCTCTCAATAAAAAATCTGGCTTCTTCTGTATTCAGGCTGGATAGGGTACGTGGAGCAGTTTACTGGTGCCTTTGTTCGCCTTTGGATTCTATTTCCTCCATGATAAATAGCTTTAAAACACTGTGTGCCACTTTATTTTTTTTTAGGGAAGGCTGCTCATGGAGATGAACTACATGTTGGCGTATGGTTCTGCAGAAGCGTCACTCAGGTTGTTATGGAGATTCGGGCTTTTAGAAATTATTTTGCCCATTCAGGTTTGTGAGGTTTGAATTTGATCAGATATTGTCCACATACATTAGAATTATATTTCTAAGTTTCTTAAGAATGCAGGCAGCCTACTTTGTCCACATTGGTTTTCGAAGAAATGACAAGAGGTCCAACATGCTTTTGGTAATTTTAGCTTCTCTGTAACCTCAGATCGGTTCTTGTGCTGCCCGGGCAACATTTTTCATTATATTACCATTAAAATGCACTGGCTGTTGAGTGATCTTGTTGATGTCTTGGTTCATTTCATGGAGTAAGGTTTACCACATCCCAGATGGGAAGTTTGAAAATGTCAGTTGTGTGTGTTTTAGGAAAATGATTACTTTGCAACACAAACATGCCTAGGTTGTTGCTCTAAACTATAATGCAGCAGAAAATTTAGCAAAAACTGAAGGAAAACGATAGGGGAATCGCAAAAGCACAAGAACTACTCTGAGAATAACGCCTAGGCATCACACCCCTGGACCTTTAGACATCTCAACTTAGGTTAAGTACATCACACAACCTGGAAGGACAAGCTTGTCACAGGAATTTTTAGTAACCAAGTTTGCTCTACTCCTTGAAGAAGTTACTTATCAATTGGTTAAACTAAAACCAAAAGTTATTAGGAATCTGTCTTTAGTCTCCTAATGAATTACATTCCTTCTAGGATCAACCATAAAATAGGTAATTACTACCTAGACGCTGTACAACAAAGACAGAACATAGGAAGCTGTCCTAACTACAGAAACTAGAAACTACTGTTGATCCAAAGGTAAAAAATGGTAGAACTAATGAAAATAATTTACTAGAGTTCCGGCACAGGTGGCTTGACTAAGAATACTTTTATTCGACACCTTCTTCTCATATACGGCTTGAATAACATGGACAATGTACCTCCAAGTACTGATTTCCATTTGGACTTTTGAGTCCACACCATACTGTCATGCCATCTCACATCAAAGTTTTTGAACAGCCACTTTTATTTCATTCTCTGACTGCTAAAGTCTACACATGATCAGAATCTTCTTTCTCCCAGCATGATCACAGGTACAAGCTTATGTTCTGCTAGGGATCAATGTCTCATGTTGTTTTTCATTTAACTTTTTCTTCTATACATTCTTTTCCTGAGAAAATTGCTTGGTTCATTTTAAATGCTCAAAGTTCACGATAGGTTTTACTTAAACTGTCTGCACACTTGTGAATCTACTCGTTTTTCTAATTACATTCCCAGTATGGATTTGCCGGATGGGTGAGCTTTGTTTATTTCTTTTCTTTTGGAGTTACAGTGCTACATGAGCTGGTATTTGATTTTCTTTTCCTTCTTTTCTTGTGGCAGTCCCTGTTTTTCAACTTGGATAAATATGTGGCACCTGACAGTCCTTGTCATAGTAGCTTATGGTAAGATTTATTATTCGTGTTTGGATAAGTAACTCGTTTGTGTGGATTACTTCTAAATTCTATGAGTTGCTACGTTCATGTACTCCAGGCTTCTAGTAATTGATGCATGATTTTATGGTGAAGGTGCCCCTAATGTTTAGAGTACAGAGGATTTTGGAGAAGGCACCTTCAACAATTTTTAGGTAATGAGTTTGTAATTGTTCAGGACTTAAGGTAACTGATATAGAAAAGAAAAGGAGCAAATTGGATCCGACTAGAATCTTGTCTATTGACACTGCAGTTTTGTGACTGAGATTTTAAGGACAGATTTCTTTAATATACTATTCTATGCAATGAAGTTCCTTTTTCCTGTTATATTGAATCTGAATTCGTGTTCTTTCGTCAATTTGGATCAGTTATAAAGTGCTTAGCTTCATACCTGTCAAGCTATAACTTCATATGACTATACATGGTTTGCAGGGTTGCATTATTAGGATTCCATAGAGCAATTTTTGATCAACCAAGTGATCCTCTAGTGGTCGCCACACTTTGCCTTGCTGTTCACAATGGAGGTGATCTGTTGGAGGCATCAAACATTGCGAAAAAAATCTCCCGAGAGCATGATATAAGTTTTATTGAGTTATCAGAATCTCAGGATCTAGACTCCGATTCACTCATTGCTGAGGCTAAGTTTTTGGCAGCTTCAATTCAAGATGCACTTTCTAATATGACCGATGAGTATGCAGTTTCAAGGGCAATGACCAAATACCCTAAGGCGCCATATTCAGATCTTGTAAGCAAAAAAGGACCAACTTGTCACATCATTCTTCTTTCTATTTATGCTAACATACGATTATTAAGGGTCTGTAATTTTCTGCAGTTGCAACCAATTTATTTTAGTCGTCCATGTCGCTTTGATCACGATCTGCTCAATTACTGGGCATGACAACCCTGCTAATGGTGTTCTGTTTGCAGGTATTAATTTCGTTAGCCCTGTATTTAAGGGTTTGCAAGATTTTTGATTGTGTTAAAGGGGGCAGAGAGAAGGGATTTGTTCCAAAGCGAGGATCCAAGATCAAGCACGAGGAATTAGCGTTGGGAGCTCTACATGAAGTTCGTCATGTTTTCGCTAGAGTTGTTTTCGACACCATATTCCCAATACATCTGAAAAATAGGTAGCTGCTTTGCATAGAATAGCGAAACTGTAAAATAGTTGTACCAGAGGGTGCAGGAAAGTTCAGCTTCTGCAATGCATCAGTTGATCATTAAAGAAAATTTTGGTAATAAGGTAGCCACGAAATGTAACCTGTAAATTCAACATTTCTGATGCAAATAACTAATAATTCTCACTATATAACAGTCGTAAAAATGAAATGCGCCTTATACAAGGCTCTTGTATAACATAGTTACAAAAGAGGGAGCAATATGCTTCACAAGTCAAAACCCATATAATTCTAAAGGGTGTAAAGAGTTTCTACACAAACAAAATTTTGAATTTATGATAGTTGTTCATATATGATGCCTATTGCAGGTCAAAGTCTTCCAGCTTCAAATATCACCATATAGAATGAATAATGCTTAACTAGCTTTAGTACCTAAATTTAGTAATCTACCAGAAAACATCAACGGCGGGGATTCAAGCACGTGTTTAGAAACATCATATTGTTCCTTATGCTTTTGCCGGTGCCGGAGGAGCAGCACCACCAGTTGTCGGTCTGCAAGGAAATAAACCAACACATCATTTAAACATATACAATCATGAGAAGATTGATATTTGGCGCTCGAAAATGCCAAGTAGAGGTGAAACATAGTAAGCAAATGAATCTAGAACCAGAGACAGATGAACTTACAGTCCAACAAAAACTTTGAAAGCATCATAGATACCCCATTGTGCTCCGGTAAGGGTACCAATCATGACTATACGAAGAGGAAGCCCGCGAGTAAACAGTCCCCATACGCCAAGGTTCTTCACAGCCTGTAATTGTTGAAAGGACGCATGAAAACCATCAGCAAGATAAAGAACCATAGTTTACCTTTGAAGGCAAAGATATCCTTCACTTACATCACCAACAGTCGCACCCTTGGCATTGTTGAGGAAAGAAACGAGGTTATCAGCTGGATGTGACACAACGGCACAGAATACACCAGCCACATATCCACCGGCGAAGCTCACACCAAGCTGGGTAGTTTTGCTGCACTGATCTTTAGGAACCGGAATGGCATACTTGTACATCATTTCCACTATAGTCTCAAATGATGCAAACTTCATCATTGTGTCTGCAGAAATTTCAGTTTTTCCGAAATGTAAGTATCTGAATCGTCGAAAATCAAGATAAAAACAATAATTTCTGATGATAAAGAATAAACTTACATGGAATTTGCCGTCCCCAGAGCGGAACAAGCCCCTTGTAGAGCCTAAGATATTGGTAAACTTGAAAATGAGTTCACATCATTTGGTACAAATAACATTTCAGAAAGATAAGATTCTCCATCACAGTTTTTTATGTAGCGCTTCATCAGTAAAAGTGATGTTTTATCACTACACTATACATACACCACAGTCTAATGAAATTATGCTGATTTTATTTAGTCTTAACAAGATCAAATCGTTTCATGGAGAAAATACAGTTCATAAGCCAAAATTGTGATAGAAACTCTTATATGCATTTAACATTATATATCAACTTGTTGACATGATGAAAAAGAACCTTACCCAAGGGCACCTTCAGCCTTAACAAACTTAGGGAGTCCATCAGACAAGCCTCGGGCGAATCCAGGTTGAGTCTGAACACGAACCTTAACAGCCTCGAATGGGCAAAGGACGACATCAGCAATCACTTCGGCTGAGGCTGAACCAGCAAGATAGATCAAAGTCTTATACTTGACTGCATTCTCAGCACCAGCAATATCTGAGTAGTACTTCTTGAAGAACTCGTAGAACCCGAATTTGCAAGCTCCCTGTCCACTATATCCAAGAAGGGTAGGCACCCAACCCCTAAAGAAACCTCGGACGCCCTGCTCCTTGAGCAGAATTCCAAAGCCAGAGCTAACACTCTTGTACTTCACTGGATCAATCTGAATCGGGAAATGTTACCAGATCATTTTCATTTCCAAAGCATTGTCATTTAAGGGGGAAAAAAACACTTGAACTTGGATTACAAATATAAGTATACAAATTGAATGCATACATTTTGGAAGTACTCCAACACACTATCTACATATTTGTCTCAGGTAAAATTATGCTCCAAAAAGACAACAGGGGAATTGAATCAGGACAGGCAAAAAATTCTAATGCAATTCCTGATATATCAGAATGGAACTTGGTTTCCATTAATACAGATCAACAAAGTACATTCAAAGGCAGAAATAAAACTCAAAAAGAAAAAAGGAATAACATCATAAAGGGAAATTCTTTAGTAGGATTAAACTTGCACAAATGAAGGCTAAAAGGATGATGAACCTGCATGTTACACTTGACAAGATCAAGTGGGGTGACAGCCATATGAGTTAGCCCACAACTGAGCATTCCTCCAGCAGTGCAAGCGGCATAGAAAGCCGGCGAAAACATCTTAATCTTTCTAGCAGGCTCATTTGGTGCTGGAATCACCACACCATTTTTAACCCCTACCATTCCCAATTTTGCTGGTTCAGCTGCAACAAATGATGATGAAGAATTAGCCATCAAAAAAGGGTTCTCCAAACCAATCAATCTGTTTGAAACAGAAGAAGAAGGCGAATAAAGGAAGTTTGGGACCAAAGGCCCTCTTTGAAACTTGTCTGAAACAGCCATGGAAGAATCAAACTTTTTTTTTTTTTTCTGGGAAGTTTAAGAAAGTGAGATGATTTTTTTTTTTTTTTGTGTATGAGTTTAATCAGGTGATAAAAAGAAAAAAATTGGGAAATGTGGAGAAAAGGAAGAAAGAAAGGCAGTCCGGGAGAGTTGGAGAAGGAAGGAGGAAGGATGATTCAAAAAGATGGGCTGTGACTGTGAGACTTCAGTTCGCGTATTCTAAGGTGAGTAACTCCATGGTTTGCGCGCTTTATAGGTTACCTAGGACAAGTTTGATTTTGCCACTTTGAATTGTTTGACATTTGACCTCTTGGATTGGTTGACCTTTCTTTGATCAGATGCTGATATCTTATTATTCCAATAGTAATATACTTCCCCGTCCCATACTGGACAATAATTTTGGATCGGAGGAAATATGTAAAAAAAAAAAAATTATGAAAAAAATCTAAAATAAATTGTGTGTCAATCATCCAGACCGCCCACTAATTTTGAATTTATAAACTTGAAATGAAAGATGTTAGAAATGAACGAGCGTGATCATTTTATGTCGCTTTCTTTATAAAATTTTTGTGTATATGTATCAGGAATTTTTTAGAATTTTTTAATTTGAATTTTGTGATGATGTTTAGATTTCTTTTGTTTGTTGATGAATGCAAAATCCGTCATTGGACCATCAAAAGTTATTGGCTGAACGTACGTTGAAATTAAGAGTCGGGATTATCTTATATTTACGTTATTATTTTGAATCGTTATATTTCCTAATTCCAAAATTTTACCTATAATTGTTACGCCCATATTTTCTTAATTAATTAATCACATGTGAAATCATTTATCGGAGCAGGTATCTTGTCGGGCTACTAACCTCGTCGCACTTAATCAAGAGGGATTAAAATGAAATTTTTAGAACCTTCTTTTTTCTAATGGAATTTGGGATGAATGTTTACTGTTGAGAACTAAGAATGTTCCAAGTTGATGAATTTACGGCTCTGTCTCCTTGGGGATTGGATGATCTAGGGTTTTTGCTTTTTGCCACAAATCACAATCTTCTTCACAGCGTTTTCATATCATTTCTTTATTATAAAATGGAACATTTGATTTGACGACTTCCTTCGGAATTTCTTTCTCTTCTTCTGATCTAGAACACCAATATATCTTCTTCTTTTTTATTAAAATAAAAATTAAAAAAAAAACTGGAATTTAGCAATTTTCCTGCGTTGTGTTGTTCATGAAATAGTAATTACGAGAATAAAGTGGCAAGAGCGAAATTAAATGGAAATTACCAAATTTTCATTACCAAAAGATGAAAATATCTGATTAATACTCCCATCGTTTAGAAAAAAAATGGCATACTTTGCTATATTATCATTTTGTTGAGAGTTATTTTAATAATGATTTTTTTCAATATTGATTTTAGTAGAAGCATTGATATAATAATGCGAATTCATTTCACTAATTATTATTGTGCAATATTTATTTTCTTTTTATAGATTATTTAAAATTTTATATTTTATTATTCTCATACACATGCAAAAAAGTAACGCATCAATCGTCAAATAATTTCCATTCTAATATATATTTGGAACATATTAAAGGTAATGAAAGATTCCTTTAATACTCATTATTAGGACTAAAACCTCCCTTGACTGATGGTTAATAGGCAATTAGATCCTTAATAGGGAAATGCAAAGTAATGAGTATAAAGATGAAAATGCCTCGCCTTGAATATATTCGGGTTTTTTTCTTTATTTTGTGAGATTTAATTTTTATAAACAGTGTGATGAAGGAGGAAGGGAGTATTATTATATGTTATAAATGTGACTCTTATTTTTTGACGAAATGTTATGGTTTTAGAATAGGATCAATGAAAAATCAAACTAAGAAAAATGTAATACACTTCATACCGAAGCGCTGACATAAGATAGAAAAGCTTCACAGTGGCTTTTGTTTTATTTCATTTTTATACTATTCCCTTCGTCCCAGAAAAATAATCCAGTTTGAAAATGTACAATTTTTTTAATTTGGTCAACACACCAAAAGTACAACTCATTTTATGCCTCTAACTTTCACTAATGCCCTTTCTACTTATTTCTATAAAAGTTAACTACATATGCATTTATTTTACAACTTAAATTTAATCAAAATTTTTATCTCACAAAATATTGACAGTTGATCTTGATGGAAAGATCTTGTTACGTAGATTAATTTGATATATAATACATTTTTTAATTATTCATGTATTAAAAGATATAATCATTTGGAAAAATGTGAGAAAACTAAAAAAAATGAAAATCAAAGGAAGTGGACCTTCTTTTCCTTACCACTACTCTTTTGGATATTTAAGTCATTTCAATTCAATTAATTTTGACTTTTGTGAAACTGGATTATTCTTTTGGGGGACAAACTTTTTTATTAAACTGAATTATTTTTGTGGGACAGAGTTAGTACTAGATTATGATTAGAACCATCATACAAGACTCCATAAATTCAAACACATGTTCGTTACATACAAATATTGAAACTCTTTAAGAATTAACTAGATGTTAAACCTGTAGGATGTGCGAGATTTATTGGTATACATTTATAAAAAATATTTAAATTTTCAATTCGATAAATGCAAATGAAATTATTAGTTTGCAAATAAGAAAAAAAATGAGAGCATTTAATACTAAAATTAATTAATTTACATAATTATGGTAATTAGGGTGATTTGATATTATTGGCATACTTCAAGGATTATTAGCATAAATTCTGAAACTATTTTTTTCCCAAAATTTTGAAAAATTGACATATAAGATTTTTGCTTACTTGACACTCTAGAAACATGTTTTTGTTTTCTCTCTCCGATTTCTCTCTTAGTACAATACTATAGATTTTTATCTTATTAACTTGACATTGCCAAGTACGAATATTGCACCTATCTAAGTAAAGTATAAGAAAAATAATAAATTACTTTTAATTCAATGAAATGGACTACACATTAATACAGGTCAGAAAAAATGTATTTGTAATGTTTTTTTATTGTTCATATTCTATTCATGTTAAGTGCACGTAATGTAGAAAATAATTTTGAATTAAGCAATACTCCTTTCTAAATTAGATCAACTTTGAGAAGCTTCAACGGTAGTATTCCAAAATAATAATAATAATAATAATAATAACAATAATAAGATGGCTTTTCATTTCGAACCAAAAGAAATTAACAGGTCATCATGCATCTATCTTCTTACCTAGGAATGAAAGTAGGGCTGTTCTTTTGAAGAAAAGCGAACTGATCCGAACCGAACCGTTATTTTGGTTCGGTTTGGAAACGGGTCAATTTCTTTTGGATCACAAATGGTTTCGGTTCGGTTTGGTTCAGGTTAAGTTTCGGGTTTAAACCGAATTGACCCGAAATGAACTATTTTATTAGTGATGACACGCCGGACACGGTCACTGGTCGCCGAAAATTTCGCCGGAATTTTGGCCGGAAGTTGTCGCCGACAGCAACCGGCGCCAGTGGTCAAAGGTTGTAGCGGCGGTCAACGACGACATTATTAAAATATAATTATTTACTTTTTGGTTTTGAATTTTTTCGGTTCAATTTGGATATTCTTTTGACCTGAACCGATCCGAACAGTTCCAACTTTTAGAATCTTCGACTCGAACCGATCCGAACCAAAATTAGAATTTCAGTTCGGTTTGAATCGTCGGGTCGACCCGAACCGCGGTTCAAAAAGACCAGCCCTAAATGAAAGCAAAAACGCAAACGTAATTTACACAAAGCAAAAATGTTAAAAAATAAATAAAACAAACTGACAATAACTTGCATTATAAGTGGCTGGGATTTTTTTTGGGGATTGATTTTTAAAGCCCCCAACTTTAGTACTCAAAGCCACCAAAAAAAAATTGGATGATTTTGCCCCTATCATTTAATACAGTAGAGAGAGAAAGAAAATGAGCAATTCATAGGTAAAAAAAAAAAACTTAAAAAAAAAATCGAACCGGACAAGAAAACCGTCCCGGTTGAACCGGGGACGCGCAACAAACGCGTCCGGCCATTGAACCGGACGGGTGAAATCAGACCGGACGCGCAACACACGCGTTCCGGTTGAACCGGGGATGCGCAATAAACGCGTCCGGTTCAATGGCCGGACGCGTTTGTTACAGGTCCTCGGTTCAACCGGGATGCGCGTGTTGCGCGTCCGGCCAGTGAACCCGGTTTTTTTTAAAAAAATTTTAATTTTAATTTCATGCATGTTATGTTAATTTATTTGTTAATCTAATTAGTTATGTTAAGTAATTTAATTAGTTGAATTACATTTATTTATTGCATGTTATGTTAATTTAATTAAGTAGAAATATTATTATTTTATTTGTTAATTTAATTAGTTATGTTTTGTAATTTAATTAGTTGAATTTTATTTATTTATTGCATGTTATGTTAATTTAATTAAGTAGGAATCTTATTATTTTATTTGTTAATTTAATTATTTATGTTAAGTAATTTAATTAGTTGAAATCAATTTATTTATTGCATGTTATGTTAATTTAATTAAGTAGAAATATTATTATTTTATTTGATAATTTAATTAGTTATGTTATGTAATTTAATTAGCTGAATTAGGTTTAATTAATTAGAGATAATATTTATTTAGGTTGAACCGGGACGCGTTTCTTGCGCGTCCGGTCGCGCCGCTAGACGGCTTCATTGCACGTCCGGCGGCTAGAATGCATTTTTTTTTTTCTACAATTCACAAATTTTTTTTTAAAAAAAAAACGTATCCGTGATGAGATCGGCTCTTTCCCGCTTTGATTCTTCCGTGTTGCCATCAACGGTGGATCAAATTAGACTTCAAATTTGAGTTTAGAAGGGAGGTGGCTTCAAGTTTTCTCTCTTTTTTCCTTTGGTGGAAGTTTGAAATGTGAGGGACAAAATAGTCCAAAAATATTTACGGTGGCTTTAAGTAGTAAAGATGGTGGCTTCAAAAATTAACACCATTTTTTTTTAATTTATTTATTCAGCTTTCATTTTGAATTGTTTTAATCTAGTAACAATCTCCATCTTAGAATTTGTATGTAACTAGCACTTGTGCTATATGATGATTTTTTTTCTTATTGTTAATTACTGTTAAACGATCTTCAGTAAAATTTATAAAATTTTGGTTAATATTTCAAGTATAAAGAAATAGTAATAATGCGCTGTTTAACCGGTTAGATCAACAAAAATTCCCTAAACATAGCTTTCGTTCTTTTTCTTTTTCTTCCTTTCTTTTCCCCCCTTTTTTTTAATAGATGAATCACGATTGAATGATCGACCTTTTGGATGTTGTGGGTTCGGTGATATACAATCAACTCAATTATGAAACTAGTTAATGAATAATTTTTCCCCCTAAATTATTGAAACAGTCCAAGAAAAAGGTACAAATGGAGGCATTACATTCACTTATTAATTTACATTTTTTTTGTGAAGCCTCCTCAATTCTATTGCACTCTTCCTCCTCCTACCAAGTGTCCAATATGTTGTTGGGAAAATTATATTTTTTCCAAAAGGGATTATAAAAAAAAAAAAAGAAAAAAGAAGCTAGAGCACTAAAGTAGAAAACAAGTTCGAAACTTCATATACATTGAAAGAAGAGATTAATTTTTCAATGTCAACCACTTAATTACCACTCTATTAAAACTTCTGATTTATAAGTAGAGTGGTAAAATTACTTCATTGTCAAAATTATTTGGACACTCATCTAAAAAATAATTAATAAAAAATGAAGCGGCTAAAAAAATTTAAAAATATGTGACAGATCTTTGACGATAATGATACGAGATTATTTTATCACAACCTCTAGTTCAACACTATATGAGTGTTGTGATGTGAAGAATCTACTCTCCTTTGTTTTTGTATATATTAAATAAAAAAAAAAGATTTTCAGTTGAAAAGATATCTCGTATTTATATCCTTTGGCCGCCCCTCGTAGCCGGCACTGTCCGCCCATTGATACTGAAATTTCTTCTCATTCTCGATATATGATGGCTCTGTAAAGTGAGACCACACTCACAAGACTACACTTGACTTGGATTGAACCCTTGTGATGTGATATGGAATGGTTAATTATGAAATGATAAAATATAAAGTCACTACATAATTTGATAATGGCCAATTGTGCCTTTTAAATATATAATATGGCATCATTCACTATTTAATTTCGTAACAAAAATCTATTTTCATAGTTTTGCATTTTTTGTAAAACTCGTTAGATATTTGGAACGCATTAATCACTTACTCAACCGCAAAACATCACACTATTGTAACATTAAAAACTACCATGCAAGAGCGATGCATCATTTTATCATATATTTTCACCGTCTTTATCATATTTCTTTTATATTTTTTTCATCCACCATACTGCATTCAGGTTACCTAATCTCTAATAACTTAGGCCAAACCAAGCATATTACTGCTTAATGGTAAGTGATAATGACGTGAGAATGAGAATAAATAAACATTTCACATGCATGCGAATTTGCCAAACACGGCGTCTAAGTAAACAAAGTAGTACTAAAAGTGGGAAAATTAATGGAGCTCTGCCGCCATTATATCTATGCATGCTTACAGATAGCTTAAAAATTGCTATTAAAAAAACAAGAAACACGCACTCACACACACATAAACACTCGTAATGTCCGTCTACCACACTCTCACGAAATCGAATACAATTGTTAAATTCGACAGAACAATCAAGGACGTTATGTCCTATAAACCACACTACTTACTTCCTGTTCTTCTTCTTTAATGCTTTTTTTTAGCCTTTAATCAGTTGTTTTAATTAGTTTGTACAGCTGAATCATTTGGGTTGATCATGGATCCTTTGGAGAGGTCTGAATCCATTTCCAAGGAATTTAAGGTAACTTTTTTCTGATTTGTAAGGTGTTCTGTTTCTTTTTTAACATGTGCCATTTTACAGTTTCTGTTTGCTACTTTCTTTTTTTCTTCCTTTTTTTTTTTTGAAAAAAAAACATTGTTTGTTTATTGAAGTAAATCCCACTTGAATTATAGCTTCATAAGAGTGAAATCAACAAGAAAAATTGGAACTTGTGTAATTTGGAACCTGACACTTGTTCTGAGGTTTTGGAATTCTTACACTTATTGTTGTTTCTCAATTTTGGTGAGGAACTAGGATCAGTCTTTACATACAACTCTGACACTGCTTCTGGGTTAGATTCTTACTTTATCTTGTCGAATTCCCGAGTTGTATTCTTGTTCTTGTGTGTGTGTGTGTGTGTGTGTGTGTGTTTTGGTGTTGATCACTTCAACAAAATTTCAATCTTTGGTATGTGGTAGATGAAGTGTTAAAGAACCAGTTGTAGCCTGGCCTCTGCTGACGTCAAATTGGTAAACCAGAAAAGAAATTAAGTTGATGATCAGGATATAGCAGTCTCTTTCATTGTTCCAATGGCTAATTATTGAACAAGTGAATCTAGAAAGCTCGAGAACCTGCTATTTTGGAGTAATCAAGTCGATGATCTAAAGGGGCCTCTTTTCTTGTTGATTACTATCTGATTGGAATATGAAATAGTGTGCTAAGGTCAGAAAATCACTGTGCTTTTCAGATGAAAAGATTCACATCATCACTGTGCCTAATGATTTGAATGAGTTTCTGAGGACAATCAAGTCATGTAGTTTATCTTATGTTCTGCATAGTTTTTCGTGACATAAAAAGAGACCAATTTCTATAACTTTAAATAGATGTACTCTGCTTCTGTACATTTTTGGAATTGGTAGCTGACAGTGTGATCTGCAAACACCAATCAGTAAATCAACAATTAATTTATTATCCATGAAAAACTTTAGTCTTCAGCATTTCATGAACTTCAAACATGCAAAAGATGAAGTTCTTGTATAATCCTGGTGTTGTGTTGATCCTCCATCAGCTTATTGTTACCATTGACCATTTTCCATCCTTTCTTCTGATCATCTACATGCTTTTTGTTATTAAAGGAATTTTTAACAGGGCATCGTGATGAATTTTACATTCATCTTTGGCAGGAAAATAGGGAGAAAGAGACATGGCGGCGTACATGCCTTTTGTCGTTTCAGAGTCTTGGTATCGTATTTGGTCGCTTGAGCACTGCTCCTCTATATGTTTTCGGATCAATTCATCCTGGAGATTTTAAGTCTGAGAAGGAGATATATGAACTATTTTCATTTATCTTCTGGTCATTGAGCATTATTCCCTTGCTAAAATATGCTTTCATAGTACTGAGAGCTGATGATGACGGAGAGGGTAATGGAATTTGCATTACATTTTTTTGGTCAAATGTCAGATCAAAGTATCTCTTGTTGATTTTTCAGGATCTTTGCAGGTGGTACATTTCCTTTATACTCATTACTTTGCCGATATGCTAATGTTGGGCTGCTACCAAATGATAATAGTGCCAGCGAAATTATGAACCACGACAGTGAAAGTGACAGGATTAAGGTACGAACAAGGGCTAGAAGAGCCTTGGAACGACATAAAATCTTTCATAATTTGCTGTTCTTCCTTGCTTTGTTTGGCTGTTGCATGATCATCGCTGATGGAGTTCTCACCCCATCTGTCTCCGGTCAGTGAGAATGTCATTGTACTCATTTTTCTTTATGAATGTTAGATATATTCTGGTAAAGTAGCTTAATTTCACTAACCAGAGTTTGCTTCATCATATCAGTGTTATCAGCCACATCAACCTTTGGGCGATCGATGATAAAATTGTCCCATCGGGGTAAGATATAACAATATGAATATATCACTCCACGAACAAGTTTTTTGGTAGTAGTTTGGCACTATGCAACTTACCTTCACTATTCTCATGTTTGTAGTGTTTTCTTCCCCAAAAACAAGAAATCAAGCAGACAAGATCTTCAGCAAAAGTAAGTAGTTTTTTTTTTCCAGCAAAAACAAGTCATTGTCTTATAGTGCCTTAACTGCAAGTTTTAGCTACTTTGCTGATTAGGATGAGGTCTTGAGACACTCTTTCATAAAATACTTTAATTTTAAGTTTCGTTGTTTGCACCTTTATGACTGACTACTTGACTGATCTAATTCTTTATTGAGTGGCTTTAACAAGTGGAGGACAATTATCTTCATTCAAAATTTCAAGTATCAACGCTTCAGTACCTCATATTTTTGGACTGACAGCATTTTAGGAATTGGCATATATTATTGTATCCTTAATCTAGTAATTAGTTTGAGCAGAGAACCACTGTGATTATTTAATGAAAACGCTAACGAAGAGAAGCTGCTTGCAGTAGATAGTTGTTCTTTCATTTTTCCTCTGTTAAATAAGGAATACTCAACATCGGTATATCTCATATCACGATGGCATTCCACAGAGAACAAATAATATAACTTTATGGTTCATCGTCGAGCATCTGCGCCTAAATAAAATCAAATTTGATGTCACCCTTTGTAATCCACTTGAAATGCTATGAGTTCTTAACTTGATTTTCTTACTGTTGGAAGGATAGAACCGATCTCTAGTCTAGCCTTAGAAGACATTTGAGCTTGAGAAAGTTTTCTGTGCAAACATAATTCATATTTATATTATTATAATAATACTCCTACTGTGGCACTCAAAGCAGCTTTTATATCTCAGAGTTCCTGGATTTCATTCATTCTACCTTTTCAAAGCTTCTGATCCATTGACCTTTTGCAGTACCTGTGCCCATGTCATGTGCTATACTGGTTTGCCTTTTCAGCGTACAAAGATTCGGGACAAAGAAAGTTGGTTTCCTTTTTGCTCCAATTATTATAGTCTGGCTCACATTTATTAGTGGCATTGGTGTTTATAATATCGTAAAAGATCCCAAAATACTTCATGCAATCTCTCCAATATACATGTTCAGATTCTTCAAGAGAGTCGACCTTCGAAGTTGGAAATTGTTGGGGAGTATTGTTTTATGTGTAGCAGGTTAGTTTTGATAATATATGTTGCCTTTTGTATCAAACGCGAAGCCTTTTACTAGGGACTAAAAATTGTAGTTGTGTATTTGCTTTATCTTAACTAACCAAAATCAATATGTCCAGGGTCAGAGGCTATGTTTACAAATCTAGGTCACTTCTCGATGAAATCTATAAAGGTAGATCGAACACTTCTATATTATCACTGATTTTAACATAAAAATAGATGACAAACTTTGGATGATTTCCTGGATGCAGCTGACATTCATATGCTTGGTATATCCTGCACTTATTTTAAGTTATGCTGGTCAAGCTGCAAGCATTGCTAGACACTTAGGAACTTCTGACGACGTTGCCAATCTCAGTGAATATGTACCTGATAGTAAGTTGTTTCTCTCTTTCGTGCACACTTTAGGAGGTACATAAATCAGCTACATAGTCTTTTCTTACTGTTGACACATGGAATTTGCAGAAACCTTGCATCATGCCTTTGCAATAGTATCCATATTTGCTTCAGCAGTTGGAAGCCAAGCAACTATTACAGCAAGTTTTTCCATAATAAACCAATGCCAATCACTAAGCTGTTTTCCCAGAGTGAAAGTCATCCACACATCTGATGAGATTCGTGGGCAAGTCTATATACCAGATGTTAATTGGTTGTTTATGGCACTTTCAATCGGAATTACTGTTGGATTTCGCAGCATAACTCCAATTGGAACAGCAACTGGTATGCTAATCTGAAAACAATCTCATTTACCTCTCGTCATTCTTTCATGTTGTCTATTTTTTATTTCAGCTTTGATAATTTGAACTTGAAAAAATAGGAAGCAACCAAATAATATTCATACTCCCACCACCCCAGAAAAATAGTCATACATGTCATTTGCTGTTATCATTGAGAGGTTACATATATCCGCTGCCATCAAAGACATAATATATATTCTTATAAACCAAATGATGCACTTCGCTGATCTTCTCGGATTTCTTATTTTCTTTTTCTTCTGTTCTTTTATTATCTAACAGGTTTAGCTATCATTTCTGGGATGCTAGTGACAACTTGTCTAATGTCACTTGTGATTTCTTTACCCTGGGAAAGAAGTTTGATTTTGTCTACATGTTTCTTATTGTTCTTTGGCTCACTTGAGGCTATGTATCTGTCATCATCTTTGCTAAACTTCCCGAGGGGGGCATGGTTTCTATTGGTTCTTTCAGTTATATTCTTGACCATTATGATCTCCTGGCACTATGGTACCCTAAAGAAGTATCAGTTTGATGTTGAAAACAAGGTTTCAGTTGATTGGCTGACTGATCTTAGTCCTGGGCTTGGGATATCCAGGGTGCATGGTATCGGCTTCATCCACACAAACATTGTGTCAGGAATTCCAGCTTTCTTCTCCCATTTCATCACAAATCTTCCTGCATTTCATGAGGTGCTGATCTTTGTATGTTTCAAGTCTTTGCCAATACCCTATATTTCCAATGATCAACGGTACTTAATAGGCAGGGTCGGCCCTAAAGAATACAAGATCTATCGATGTGTGGTACTACATGGATACCGTGACAACATCAGAGATTGTGATGATTTCGAGGATCATATAGTGAGCTCCATTGGAGAATTCATTGCAAGAGAGGTACGTGATCATGAAGCCTTGACTTCACCTGAAGGAATGATGGTGTTGGGAAGAACAATGGGACGGGGAAGTGCTCTAATTCCCATGACTATTAGCTCAACTAGTGATCAAACTTTTGTCGGCAACACAACTAAAAGTATACTTTCATGTGATTTAGCTGAGACTAGTTCTGCCCCTGCTTTGCGGAAAAGGGTTCGGTTTACACTACCCGAAAAGAGTCCCCAACAAGATGACTCAGTACGACAAGAACTGCAACATCTTGTTGATGCAAGAGAGAGTGGGACTGCATATTTCCTGGGAAAATCCCATCTATCTGTAAGGAGGGGTTCAAATCTGTTGAAGAGATTTCTTGTCATGATCTATATTTTCCTAGACCAAAACTGTAGGGAACCTCCAGTGGCACTAAACATTCCCCATGCTGCTCTTTTAGAGGTTGGCATGGCTTATACAATCTGATAAAAACTGATGAGAAGGCAGTGAAAACAATCTTTTGTACTCTTGTGATTGCATTATGTATATAGAATCAACAATTGCTTAAAAATTGACATATTTGCACTTGATCAAAGGAATTCCAAGTTTCAGCCAGTTGAAAATTTCAAGTGCATAATGATTTTCGATTTTCCATTCCATTGGAACACACACATCGCTTCCAGATAACCGAACACCAGTTTTTGGTTCCGATAAGGTTCACCTTTAGGTTCCGTTTTACCTAAGCTTAAAAATCACAAGGAGATGCTGCCATATCATAAATGTTTACAGAATATTTTTGCTACTTCAAAACAAAGATGAGTATAAAATTCACCTTAACTTCCAAGAAGTAACCAAGGAGAACTTCCAAGAAGACACTTTTTCGACTCGCATCACTAATCAGCCAGCAGCAAATCGCTTGCGGCATTGCTCAAGCTAGAAAGAAGTTGATGAAATAAAATCCAGGAAATAATTCGGGAAGCTATATAATCCAGGAAATAAAATCGCATGTACTATCAAGCTATATAATTGAAGCAGGTGAAATAAAATCCATTCTGGTAGCTTTTCTAATCATAATCATACAGCCTTTGATATAACCAAAAAGGTTGAGGATTAATCCACCACTAACATTACAAGATTTTTAACTCCAAAGAGTTGCCCACAAACTAGTTTTCAAGGATTAACATAAATCCAGGAACTCATCCCAACTATTATGCTCCAACGACTTCAGTTTCCACCTCAGCTGTTTCCTCAACAATAGGCCTATCCACCTTCACACCAACGTCTTCTGAATAGTCACCATGAACCTGAAAGAGATGCAACCAAATGAAATTTAGCAACACAAGCAAAATACAGAGGCCTTCACAGGATCACTATTCAAAGAAAACTTCCCAAATAAAAGATTGTCAATTTGGAGACACGGCCACAAGACAAGAAAGTACCTCCATTAATTTGCCAAGATCGAATTTGGGTGCCTTGAGAATCTTCACTTTACGAATGAAAACATTCTGTAGAGGGAAGATGCTCGAGGTTGACTTCTCAATCTCTCTGCCAATTGACTCGGGGATGAATTTCGCAACCAGCTCCTTCAAATCACAAGAACTTGCTTGATTTCTCATGATTTCAATCATTTTCTTCCGAATCTAAAAATATGCAAAATCACCACCAAAAAGGAAAAAGCTTAGAAATGTGATAAAAGAAAGACATATCGAGCTCACATTTTAAGAATTCAAGGGGGTACGAATTTTACCTGACGAATCTGACTAGACTGAGCATAACATGTTCGCTTCTGCTGGTTTGCACGCTTCTTTGTGAATCCAATGCAAAACATTCTAAGGGTATAGTTGTCAGTTGTCTTAACATCCACATGAGCCTCGATCAGAGTCTGCCACTTACGAACAAGAGATCTGACCTTGTCTGTTGTGAAATCCATACCCTGAAAAACACGGGGCAACCATAAGCTAACAGCTCTTTAGGCTCAAAAGACAAAAATATAATGAGAAAGTTGAACCCACCCAGAAGTTTGTCAGGACATTTTTGCCCTGAACATCTTCTGCTCTTAGACGGATCTTCTTGAAAGCATGGTCCTCATCCTTCTGAAGATCAGCCAAACTAACTTCGAAAACTCGATGCTTTAGCCCTTCAGAAGCAATCTGAGAAATTGAAGAAAGCCAAAAACTATTAACCCATTACGATCATCAAAACAAAATTTCAATGGCCAAACAGGATATGTTAGTTAGCTAAGTACCAAAGTAAACCATGCACCAGCAGAGATTACTTAGACAAGTAAATCAAACAATTCCCCAAGTCATAATTAAATCTCCAAATCCCTTTTGAAAAAATCAGATGAAACCTTTTCATAAAAAGTAAATTCAACGTAGATATATCTTCATGTACATCAGCGCAGCATGTTCCTCCGATTATATTCTTCTACAGAGGCACAATCCACTCAGATTATAAAGATGGCCGAAATGGAAAAACTTAAGCATGTCAAAACCATAACAGACCTTAGTCCCTTGAGTCCTGGTGACAAGAGTCTTGCCCACGTTGCGGACCTCAAAAATAGAGGGTGCCTTGACATCGTACCAATCCTTCTTTGCAAAGGGATCAGCCCTGTACAATCCCAATCCAACCAAAGAAACTAAATAAAAATGGAATGATAGTTCAAATCATTCAACCCAACCAATCACCCATCATAAGTTCACAACAGAACTTAGTAAACATACAGAATCGAATTCCTCATTCGAAAATTGGATCACTCAGACCCATCCCAGCCCCAAAAACAAATTTTCCCTCTCTTTCCTAAGAAATCACAAACCGTGGCACTCATCCAATATACAAACGTGATTCAAATCAGAATCCTCAAAATACTTTTACATCAATTCCATAATTTCCACCGAACTCATCACACACAAAAAAAAAAGAGTCATTATTGAAGCATGAACAACCAAAATATATAAATAAAAAAAAGGGAATTAGAATGCTTACGCCTTCTTCTTTCCACCCTTCTTGCCTTTGGAAATCCTCTTGTTCTTCCTGCAAAATTAACGAAACAAAACATCAAATTGAATAAGACCCATTATCAATGACCCGTGTGAGCGAGCGAACGAGTGTTCGTCGGAGTAAGGAAGAAGGAGAAGATGAGGAGACGTACCCGACGGCCATGGTTGCGGAGGTGAAGGAGGCGCTTAGGGTTTGCTAAGGGTTTATTGCAGAGGCACGAGTAGTTCAAGTTAAAAATGTACAGTTTCAATAAATACGATTTCCGGTTAAGTGTTAAGGCATTAAACTTAGAGGACCAAATAGTTAATTAAGAAAATTAAGGGCAGTGAAGATAATTGTGAGTTGTGACAGTGATTTCACCCTTACTATCATGAACGTGTGTGATTTAGAAAATACTACATCCGTGATTCGTCCTCTATAAATTGTCCATTTTAGTATAATTAAAATAATAATAATATGTGAATTACATTTTTGAGACATAATTATTTATAAGATATTTAGCAAAATTTGTTTAAAATAAAGGGAATTTATGTCATTTTGTATGTTTAACATCGCTCACTTTTATCATACACTAATTCACTTTATGTTGATCATTAATATCTATAGATTGTCACTAATTATCTGGAATGTTTTTCTAATTACAAACTATTAGATAAAAGTCTAGGAACAAATCAACACATATTAGGAATGTACGGTGTGTGATACCTATAATATCATGTTTTAAATTTTAACCATTGGATAATCAAATCCTGTCTATATGAAATGTAAGTGACTACTTTAGGTACGGAAAAAATAAAAAGAAAAAAAGAGAGCAAGTTTAATTAATTTGTAGACTCCGTGTGAAACTGTAAAACTCAAAAACTTGAAGTATTAGTATCCTAACTCACACAAGAGGCTATGTTTTAGCTTCATTTCGCCATTACCTTGGATGTTATTTGGCTTTGGTTTTAAGCAAAACTCTTAAATACAAGATCATTCTTTTTTTTTTCCGGTGAAATTTAATTTTTATAAAAACCAGTGTTAACCCCGCACGTTGTGCGGGTTGTTCAAGATATATATAAATTTAATAGTTTAAAGATTATATTATATTTTCGACGGAGTGATATTAATATTAATGATATAAATTGCAACTATGTAATTTTTAATGTTAATATATTTTGTTATTTTAAGTACACTTGGAATAATTTTTAATATTTGAAAATATCAAATGTAACTTACTGTCCATCTTTTTCGCTTTGTTGATTTATGAATTTATATTTTTTATTAAAAATATTTTTACTTAATTTTTCATAATGATCTCTTTAAATATATCTATCTGTATCATATCTTTTAAACTCTCCTCTAACAAAATTTTTTTTACCCATGTCAATGTAACTTAAATACAGTTACAATCCGATGCACATCTTCTACTTTGGGCTTTGAGATTTCCTCCCCACGATCCAGCTTAACAGTTGGATAAAACTTCAGGTATTCATATTTTTCTCTCTGTTAATTTAGGCTTGTCTTCTCTTCGTATAATCAGTTTCATTATCGCAATTGCCAATTGATATATATAAATTTGATAACTACTTAGGACACAATTCCTAGGCTTTTATTTCTTTACTTTCGGCTTTTTTGGATTTTAAATTAATTTTGCAGATTAATACGTACTTATGTAATCACCGTCAGTTATAAGTATTGTTAAGTAGTTGAATAAAGTTTTCCCTTCCATTGCTAATAGTTCTTTTGAATGGTGTACGTGCAGTTTTTTATTTCAATTTGCCAGGTTTTTGTAATTGTATAATAATTTTTTTTAGTTTCAGTTTAACTTTATTTTTCATTAAATGAAATTATAGGTAGGATTTTTATTTTAATTTATGTTAGCTATGTAAATAAATTGACAAATAAAGTTACTTTAGGAAAAAATTATCTTATTATTTCCTTTAATGACAAAAACATTAAAGGATTTATGGATTTTAATAATTTAAATCGGGTAAATTGGTTATTTACATATTTTATTGATTTAGAAATAAAAAATTATCATTAAATGATAGAGTGATGTGGTTGCTACATGTGGACTTGGTTATCTAATTTTTCATCATGTGGATTAGCCTATCTAATTTTACGATGTGTGTCTGATTAAATAACGAAGTGATGTGATTGCAACAAAATGTAATGTTTATTTTTATTTTTTTTTTGTGGCATAGTCTTCACTTTTTTTTTTTCTCTAAATTTGATCATCTATCCTTAAAGCTTCATTTCTTGAATAATTTGTAATAATTATTTCATTATTTGTTATTATGACGGTTTCTTTTTTCATACTTTCTTTTATTCTCTATACAATTTTTCTTCCATAAAATTATTTTTAATTTCTAAATATGCTTTTCTTATACTATTTGTCTATCACAAAGACCATTATTCTGTTTTTTTTAATATCATTTTGGAAAACTATCTGCATATTGACATCTACATTTTATTTTATCATTTTAAATTTAAATTTTTTCTATAATTATATGATATGGAAAAAATATAATGAATTATCTAATTAATTTTTTGTATTTTTCTGCAAGTCGGTTTTTTTTTTCTTATTTGATACTTATTTCTTATTTTTTATCATGTTCAATTTTAAAATCAACACGTGGACTAAACGAAAGAAGGAACAAATAATCAATAAATCAAATCCTAAAAAGGGGAAAACAATTAGTAACAGTTTGGTTTTTTGATCAGTTTTGTTATATTATGTTAGTTAAATCAAATCGACAAAAGAATAGGACTGAAATTATACTAATACTCCCGTATTAATAGGTCTATCTCTATCTAACTTGTTGGATAATTAAAAAGTTTGTCTGTCTCAATTAAAAAATTAAAAATTAAAAAAAAATCCATGTCCACTTACACATATTAGCACACGTACTATAAATTACAATTACAATTAATTAATAATGCATGCGTAATTTCCCCTCCCTCAAGAAAGCCAATCCAGCTATAAGAAGAATAGCCCAGAGCCGAAATCATGCATAATTAGTTCCGTCTTCCGATGGCCACCGCCGTTTTACTCAGATCTCTTCGCCGCCGAGATCTTGCTTCCTCTTCTCTCTCTGCTTATAAATCGGTGCGTTTCTTATAAATTGCATTATGTGTTTGTTAATGCTTCCTTAATAATATGTCGTCTTCGCGAGTTCTTTTCCCGCTGTTTGTTTGTGTCAATTTTTTTTTTTTTTTTTTGGCTTTTCATGATTTGATGGCTCTTTGAGGCTCTGATGTTAAAGGCTATGAAATAGTATTCCGTTTTGTTGAATGATTGTGATATATATATATATATATATATATATATATGGTTTTACCTTTAGTTGTCAAAAATAGTTAAAAGTGGAATTTTTTTTGTTGTTCTCAACTTCTTTGTTGCAAAAAGAGCTCTCGAAGTATTTGGATGTGGTTTACAATCCCGATTATCTTTGCCTTGAACAACAAGTATATAGTATGTATAAAGGACTGAGCTTTATTCCAATACTAATGGGCACAATAAAAAATAGTCTTAATTTTTTTTACCAAAAAAAAAAAAGAATAAAACAAATAGCCTCAATTTTCGAGATAATCTGAGTTGGCTATTTGTTTTCAAAAAAAAAAAAAAAGTTCTATTTTGTGTTTGCATCCTTTTCTAGTCTTATTTCTTATTGCTTCATGATTGATACACTTATTCATCCGTTGGAGTCTTGGAGATGATTGTCCCCTTTAAATGAAAATCTATAAAATATAATCAGTTCGAGACAGAAAGAGTACTATTTCATTATGTTTTTTGCTAGTGTTGATGAACAATTACTATGTGCTTTTTTTCACATCCGCAGTTTGTTGGAAATGCCAAATGTTTTCAACACGTTCAAGTGTGGCAAGACTGGCTAGACCATTCAGCACACGAAGTAATGTTGTGGGAAATGAAGTCATAGGCATAGATTTGGGCACCACAAACTCTTGTGTTGCTGTAATGGAGCGCAAAACTCCCAAAATAATCCCGAATTCGGAAGGATCTCGAACAACTCCATCGGTTGTAGCCATCAACCAGAAAGAAGAATTACTCATTGGCACCCCAGCAAAACGTCAAAATGTCACCAATCCAACGAATACGCTGTTCGAGAGCAAGCGTTTATTGGGAAGAAGGTTTGATGATCCACAAGTACAGAAGGAAATGAAGTTGGCTCCCTTCAAAATTATTAGGGCTCCCAATGGGGATGCCTGGGTTGAGGCCAACGGAAATCAGTATTCTCCTAGCCAAGTTGGAGCCTTTACACTGACTAAACTGCGTGAAGACGCCGAGGCTTACATGGGAAAGCAAGTCAACAAGGCTGTAATCACAGTGCCGGCTTACTTTAATGATGCTCAAAGGCAAGCTACAAAAGATGCCGGGCGAATCGTGGGTCTCGATGTCCAGAGAATCATCAATGAGCCGACTGCTGCTGCACTTGCATATGGTTCCGGCAACAAAGAAGGCCTAATTGCTGTCTTTGACCTTGGTGGTGGCACCTTTGATGTCTCCATCTTGGAGATAGCTAATGGCGTATTCGAGGTAACGCCTCAGTCTGATAAAAATTAGTGCTTAATTCTGAATACTTCATACTAAAACAGAAATGCTGAATTCTTTATACAGGTAGGGAATAAGTATTAACCTCACTTTTATTACTTATATTTTGTTGACTTGCACCCTTAAATGATTCAAGTTTGTATTGAATTTGTTACTGAAAGTTGTTCTCTGATGAATGCAGGTGAAAGCAACAAATGGAGACACCTTTTTGGGAGGAGCAGACTTTGATAATGCTTTGTTGAAGTATTTAGTAAATGAGTTTAAGAAAACTGAGTCAATTGACCTGACCAAAGATACAATGGCCCTCCAAAGGCTGCGAGATGCAGCTGAGAAAGCTAAAATCGAACTCTCATCAACCACACAGACAGACATTAATCTTCCATTTATTACAGCTGATGCCAGCGGCCCGAAGCATTTGAACATCACGTTGACGAGATCAAAGTTCGAGAATATTGTCAATGACTTGATCGAGAGGACTAAAGATCCTTGCAACAATTGTTTGAAGGATGCGGGCATTAGTGCACATCAGGTTGATGAGGTACTGTTAGTTGGCGGTATGACCCGAGTTTCAAAGGTACAGCAAGTTGTTGCAGAGCTTTTTGGTAAGTCACCTAGTAAAGGTGTGAACCCTGATGAGGCAGTAGCCATGGGAGCAGCCATCCAGGGAGGTATTCTTCAGGGTGACGTGAAGGATCTCTTGCTTCTGGATGTCACTCCACTTTCTCTTGGGATTGAGACATTGGGAGGTGTATTTACTAGAATGATCAACAGGAACACCACTATTCCTACAAAGAAAAGCAAGGTTAGACAGAAGTCAGGGAATTTTTCAGTATTATATACTCTTTCTGTCCCAAAATGATTGTCTTTTTTTTTTAATCGAAACTTTTGGTTTTGGTATGGTTAATATCAGGTGTTTTCGACAGCTGCTGACAACCAAACTCAGGTGGGTATTAAAGTTTTGCAAGGAGAGAGGGAGATGGCATCTGATAACAAGCTTTTAGGTGAGTTTGAGCTGACAAGTATCCCTCCAGCAATGAGGGGCACCCCACAAATTGAGGTCACATTTGACATTGATGCAAATGGAATTGTTACGGTTTCTGCAAAGGACCAAGCCACGAGCAAAGCGCAACAGATCACGATTCGTTCATCGGGGGGTTTATCAGAATCCGAGATTGAGAAGATGCTCAAGGAAGCTGAGAAGCATTCGCAGATGGATCAGGCAAGGAAGGAATTGATTGAGGTTAAGAACCAAGCTGATGTCACGGCCTACAGTGTGGAGAACAGCTTGAATGAGTACAGGGACAAAATTCCAGCAGAAGTGGCTTCTGAGATTGAGGCAGCTGTGCGCCAACTGAGAGAGGCAACGACAACCACCAGCGACAGTGGTGACATTAAAGCGAAGATCGATGCAACAAACAAGGCGGTCTCCAAGATCGGAGCCCATATGTCTTCTGCTTCAGGTGGATCAGGATCAGGATCAGGTGTTGAAGGAAGTTCTTAGCGTGGCGTCCCAACTAAACCCTCTATCCAATACGGGCAGTTCAATCAATGGGACGGACGACTGCCTAGCTCGCGCCAAGACTCAAACAATTAAATCACTTGCATTTTTCTTTAGTTAGCGGAATAAGATTTATCATGATAAGAAACGAACTCTTCTGTTCTTCAGTAGGAAACTAGAAACAAAAACAGCCCCTTTATGTTTTCATTCTTCTTAATAAAGCAATCATCATCATCTACATTTATCCTAGTAGTTGCCATTAACGTTCATTTTGAAAGCTCAACTCCGACATCCTCCTAAATTCTCTCTTCCGGCCAGCCTCATCTTTTCCTCCTCTGGCTGCCGGAATAACGACAGCAGTAACGGCTACAACAGTTCATATATAAACACAATCAAAATCATTATTAAGAACGAAATTAAATAGCGCAACCAACCGAATTGTTTGCTAGGTTTTTTTGATGGTATTTTCAAAATATTTAAATAATAATTGTCTCATCCCAGCATACCTTTCTACATTTCCAATACACCTTTTTACATTCCCAATATAAAAAACACCTACAAACACACACTAAAAAAACAAAACAAACATGCAAAAAAGCAGAAAATCGAAGACAGTTGCTAATGAACCCAATAAGTTAACAAAACTAGCAACCCATTACCATCCATGATCGGTCTGGTGTCAACCATACTACACCCAATTTAAAATTTACAACACCAGTTCCAAACAATTTAGTCAAAGTTTTGAACTTGGATGTCCTAATGAAGGTTTTGCTACATTGCAGAAATTCCTCAACGATGAAAGGGGAAGGTAGAACCTTGTCTGCAACTCTGGGATTTTCTCACTCCCGCAAAAAGTCAATAAATACTCCTTTCGTCCCAAAATGATTGCCAAAAGTTCAACAAATAAGACAGACATTTGGAGATAGATGGATTTTACAGTTGTATATGATACTGAATTTAACATAATCACTATAAACAGCATGCAGAATTTCCAGCTTGTAAAAAGTTTTTTTGGCCATTTACAAAGCAAAAGTTCTGTGAAATCTATCCTTCTTTATTAAGTACCTTACCATGGGGAAAATAAATTAAAAAAAAAAAGAAAAGAAAAAAAAAAGAATGCAATGTTTAAGGATACAAAAGGGATAAAATAAGGGCTTCCCAATGGTACAGTAAACCTTCCACATTTTTATCTTTTCAATTAGTCATTCACATTGGTATTCAGATGACGCTGTTGCAGATTTAGTTGATGCAGTTAGTTGGAAACCATGCTTTCCGTTTCCTGAACAAAACCATCCCCTGTCCAGTCTTTGTCAGATGCTAAACCTTTTCTGATAGCTTTACGCTGCCGAATTGCTTCCTGTTGTCTGTTGACCAAATCTGTATGTGTTGTAAAGTAGTCCAGTGATAACCTGGCACAAGGATAAAACATTAATCACAATGTGATACAAAACGAAGACTACAGTTAACAGAGCTCTCTGGTATCAACTGTCCCACTGCTATTTGCCCCACCCATATGAAAATTTTAATGAAGTAAAATACCCTTTGAAGTCTTCAATCGAAGAAAAGTTATGCTTCTTCATAAATTCCTGTAGCTCAGAGCAAAGTTTCTTCACAACACCATATCCATGCATCATAACCCCTGTACAGACCTGCAAGAGAATTTTATTTATTAAAAAAAAAAAAAAGAAAGTTCATTACCGTTATAGAGAGGATATAAAAAGGAAAAACACACGAGAACTATGCCATGAAAAATTATGATCAATAATAAAATATGCTCAGGTTTGTCACACTGCTGCGATACGGAGATGTTGGCTAAATAGATGTAGCTGAGAAACATATTACTGTGCTTATCCTTTTTCTTCGTCTTTGAGTTTCAGTCAATCAGCAATTGTTAAATTTAAGAACTTCCGTAGAGCAGGAGATAGTGCCTAAGACTTTATTCATGAACTTCAATATCAAATATGTAGCAATGTGCAGATATATGAACTAAGAATTCATTATGCGTAGAATTAAGGTTTGGGCTAAGAAGAGCAAGACGAGGAATGTTAGTAAGTAAATCGATCACAGCAATAAATCGTCAACTGTTCCGCTTTTTATTAATTTAAGCTGCATAATGCAACCTTCTGAATAGGTAGAAGAATAGGTATAGAGTGTAAACATGAAGGTGAACCTGTTCATCTGTGACTGAGCATACTTTTTATGTTTTTATTTGGTTAGCGGATAAATGAGAAATTATCTTACCTGAACTGTATCTGCACCAAGAAGTATAAACTCAGCAGCATCACCACCAGTTTCAACACCTCCTATACCAGAGAGTGAAAGTTCTTTATCTCCAAATTCTGACTTCATCATCTTTGCAATGCTCATTACTTTTGCGAGCGCAATAGGATGCACAGCCTTTGCAGAGTAGCCTCCAGGAGTTGAATACCTGGAGGGAAGAAAAAAATCAGATTGGAAAAACTTGATGTAAGATGTAAAGGTAACAAAATAACAAAATAGCTATCAATACTAACCCTTCAACACAGGGCTCGGGACGTAAAGTGTCGAGATTGATTCCCATGACACTCATGATTGTATTGATCGCAGAAACTCCTTCACACCCAGACCTTAATGCCACTCTGGCAGGCTGAAACAATATCTCAATGTATCAAGATATTTCTTATCCTCAATATTCAATAAACGTAACAAAATTAACTGAATGACCAGGTATCCATTTTTTTCTCTTATTCATGATTAGATTTGGCACAGAGACTTATAAAAGGAGAGATTGGTGTTAAAGCAACAGCAAGTTCAGTATTAGAGAATGAAATGATACCATAGCCTGCAACTGCGGAGCTAAAACCATATGTAAATATTTTCGTTTTTATATATTTGAACTGCATTTCTGCAGAAAGCATGAAACAGTCACGTAGCGCGCCACAAAAACATTGCGAATTTATGTTCAGAACATGATCTATTTACAGCCAACATTCTTACCAATGGCCCACAGCCAGATCTCTAGTTTTGGTAGGACATTTCAGGTAATTAATAAGACAAAAGAAACTAAAGAATAACACCCAGACACACATTGTGAGAAGATTCTTGTAAAAATGTAAAAACTGCTCGTTGCAATTCCAAAAATAGTAAACAAAAACTATGGGAGTTGAAACTCACCTTCATTAGTCAAATAAATTATCCTATCACACTGATCACTAGCACCCATAAAGTGTTACTTTATGATGCAGGCGAAAGCATGAAAAGAAGGAACACCACTTTGATTCATGATCACCATGAACAAAGGCAATGGTTTTTAGACAAAAACCAATAAAAACCATAACACAGGCACTCAGCCGTGAAAAGAGAACTCGCAGTTCTGAAATTTAATTATGAAATATCACAAAAACTACCTCTCTGTAAACGTACAACAACCCTATTTATAGTTAAACCCTAAACTTAAAAAAGGAAAATATCTAAAAAACTGAAAAATTACGTGAAATACTAAAACATCCCTAAATTAAAATTTCCTAATAATTCTTAAACCCTAATTCTTATTTTTTTTCCTGCATCACTTTAACCACAGAATTTGAGGTGATTGAGAAAGAAGTAACCATGTCTGGATCTATGATTTCCCAAGCCTCGGACATAAGCAAACAACTATGATAATTTTGTTGGGGGAGTAGGAAGATGAAAACAACTAACCTCAGCGATATCAGTAATGTTGGGCGTCATTTTTGCCCATACAGGAACACTAGCCTTTTCATTGATCCAGCCGCAGACTTCTTCGAGCAGCCCACAATCTTGGCCCACAGCGGCACCCATTTTGCGTTCCGGCATGCCATGGGGGCATGAAAAATTGATTTCGAGAGCATCCTGCACCATGAAGTGAACAGTGACACAGTCAATGGATACGATAAGAACTAAGAACAGGCAAATGTCAGCCATAGATAGGATTCATCACTTACTACTCCAGTATCCTCTACTCGAGCAATTAGTTCCTGCCATGCAGCTTTGTCATACTCTTCCATTATTGAAGCAATAAGAATCCTATCTGGATACTCCTTTTTCAGCTGTTTGAATTCGTTTAACATTGTTTCCAGAGGCCTGTCGCTAATGAGTTCAATATTTTGCCAACCAATGATCTGTCCTCTAGTTGAGCCATTCGCTCCAGCTCGCAATTTAGCATATCGTGGAGTGACATTTATTACTTTTGCTGCATCCAGTGACACCTAGAAACATCGACATAGTGTTAATCACCTCAACAACAATAAATGGAGATTTCCTTTTCATGGTACTTATTCTTCTTCACTGAAAACAACAGGAACTTTACTATGACACCATACTTGTGCATGACCCCAAATATCATCTGCCCCTAAATGAATCTACTATAGCCAATCTTTACAAGAATATGCTTTACTTGACAATTACAATCGGAATTCTTTGTGCCAACAGAAGTACTTGTTCCTAGTCCACATGACCAAAAAAAGAAAAAGACACAAAAACAAGCTGCATATTTTTCTAAAACCTTATTCACTCTCAACATTTTCATTGGCCAGGAAACAATTGAAGATGAACACTTTCCCAAGAACCATGGTGGGGGACGAGATGAGGCTTCTAATTGTGACAGTAGGAATAAAGATGGAGTTCAGAGAGGCTATAGACCTCGAAGTCATCAATGCTGGGATGAGATCCAATCTGCCAATACGGTGTTACTGAAATTGGATCTTACAAGTTAAGAACAACCCCAAATGAAGTGTTTAAACTCTTCTCCAGCCAACCTCTGTTTTCCTAATTAGTAATGTTTCTTACATGTGCTGCTCTTCAAATCCAATTTTCTCTAATTGCCTTCAAAATTCGTTTGCCAAGTTACCATTTTCCGATTATATAGTGATGATCGATCAGTTCGAGACATGGATCAGACTAAACAAAACATAAATTACAAATCACTCATCAAACTTCTACTGAAACAAGGAAGACTATTATTAACCAAATAACCCACATCAAAATTAAGCATAGAGATCCAAAATAATCAGATAATTTACATACATAAAGAGCTACATACACCAGGGCCAAAATGAAAAAGAGAATCTTGTAAACTAAGTTCAAAAGAGCAATACCGTTTTGGCGATGACACCGCCCCAGCCTTCATCAAAAGCTCTCCTCATCACAGCAAGGTTAGTTCCAGGAGGACCAGACCCAATAACAAATGGGTTCGGCATTTTCAATCCATTCACCGTCACACTGAGATCCGGCTCCGCAGATTTGCCCTCCGAAGCCATTACCCGGAACCCAACTCGGGTTGAGTTCTTGTTGATCACATCACGCCGACCCAAATTCACCGGCAACTCCACCGCCGCGTTCTTGCTGCATAACTGCTGAGTCAATCCACCGCCGAGACACGCCATCACCGGAAATCAGTACAATGATCAATAATCAATCAATGGGTGATAAGTTTTTTTTTTTTTTCGTTCTTTTGGTTTGACACGCAAAATGCCTTTAAATAGCAATATACTAGTACTAACAGATAAGAAGGAAGACGAAAATGAATATCTCTTGAATCTGCGTGATGACTAATTTAAGATACGAAAAGGTTCTCGAATTAAATTAATCATTACTCAAATGATTCTGATTAATAGATTTAATTTAGTGGCTGAGTTATTATTATGATGATGATTATTACAGACAATGAGAATCTTCTTAGGTGTTTGAGGTGGACTAAAATAATTTGCTTCAGAACTTCAGATGAGACAAAATCTGTGAGTGGATATTCCCAAGTTTCAAATTTTTGCTTTATATAGTAACTAATTAAATAGGACTTTAAACAATGATACATGCAGGTGAAAAAATTTTTAAAAAAATGTTACGAGGAATTATGAAAATTTACGAGGAATTATCAAATATTAGAAAATTCCAGGGTCTTGTTGCCTATTTTGAAGATTTAGTCCCATTAAAATTTAACTAATAGGAAAATGACACATCAATATAATATTAAATTTTCTTAATTTTAAATTTTTTTGTGACCTGCTTAAAAAGCAGATAAACTTACCCAAATTTAAAAAATTGAATAATTTAGGAAAGCTTCAATATTTAAAATAACAAAATTATCATTAATTAATAATTAAGTTTCTTTTTTTCATTATATGTATTGCACAAATACTTATTTACGATTGCACATTAGTTTATAAAAATTTCACGTCATTCATTAATAATTAATTGCACCTTTTTTTGTTTCCTTTTATTTTTATAGTAAGTTAATAATTAGATATCCAAGCTTTGCAGTTTTAAGGATGCACTTGCACATTCAAGTAAAATACATTGCAAGTTCACTTTTAAATAATTGCATTATACTAAACCTTTTCATAATTCTAAATTAAACTTTCTTATAATTTTAATTTTACATTACAAAAAAATCTGCATGTCATTGTGAGAGGAGGAGATGACACAATTGCGCTAGAAGAATCATGAACAAGAGAGAGGATGACTGATGATGACCGGGCACCGTACCTAAACAGGTGCATGCCCGGTAACCAACCCCTCCACAACTCCCCCTTTATATACTTTAGATACATAATTGTATATTGGCTTAAAAAAACATTGCACCATTTCTTCTATACGTTTTATTTAGTAATTTTATTTTTTTTATATAGAATTTTATTCTAAGCCTTACTGAGCGAGTATTAACGTATTATTTTGAATAACAGAATTTTATTTGCAAATTTTTTGAAATTTTTTAGCATAAGAATATATTTTTAAACATGACACAGTTATAGTAATAAATATATAAGAAATGTATATTTATCAAAAATATATTGTACACTGCATAATTAGGAATTGAACCTTTGTTACAATGTATTGCACTCTCAACAAAAGAAGTTTTACAATCTGGATAAATAATAGTGTTTCCTTCGCTACAAAACATTGCATACTTGACAATAAATGATTGCACACTTAAATTTTACAATGGACAAATTTTATTTTGAATAAGCTGAGATTTATTGCAGAAATTTGTGCCAATGATCTCTGTCATTATGTGTTAATGATAATGAAAGTATTAAAAAAAATAAAGTACATTGCTCACCTAAATTGAGCCTCTAAATAGGGAAATTATGTCACATTATGCAACAATTAATACATAAAGACGGAAAATTAGACTCTCTTGATGAGTTATTGTTGGTAATTACAAACGAAAACCTTATCATAATTCATGATTAATTTTCCTTGTTTTATTTCTACATTGCACAAAAATCTTGGTGTCATTGCACATTTACCCATTAAAAAGTTGCATATGTATTGATACATGATTGCACCCTAACTCATAAACATTGCACCATCTCTTATACTATAAGTTTTTTTTTTATTGTAAAATCTCTTACGACTTTGCACATAAACCTTTATGATTTGATAATTATTTACGTATTACGTGAACAATAGAATTTTTAGTATAATAATATAATTTTAAGCATTGCATATTTGTGTGTATGTTAATGCACATTGGAAAAAAAATATACTGCACTTTCACGGAAAATTATATCGTGGACCATGGTCCATCTTGCACCGTGAGCCAAAAAAAGAGGTGTTGGTCACTCTCCCAATCAGCAAGTGTTTTTTAACTGAAACTTTTTTGTAATTATCTTAAATCTTATCTCTCCTATTATTAATGATTCTCTTTTCATATATTTAGTTAGAATTTTAAATCATTATTTATTTTGCCATGATCAGTAAAACTTCAACAACCATCAAGAATTATGAAGATAAAATTTTGATGAAATAGTTGTAAAAACGAAGTTTAGTATTTACAGTAGATTTTCAAGTAATATTATTCAAGTAAATGTTTTAAAATATGAACATTATACAGTTTGTGTATGAACATCCAAAAAAGAACATATAACTATTATTATAGCATGATCATGGAAAAAAAAACGAATGAAGTACATACTACTATAATAAGAATATAAAATTGTTTGCCAATGGTTTTTATGTTGATAAGTTACTTGGCTTGATACTCGAGAAAAGAAAAAAATTGATAATGAAGATGGAGGAATCTAACCAACTGAAAATTACTTAAATGTGTATGGCCATTATAGTTTATATGTATGAATTCTAATTTAAAACATATGAACATTTTTGTCAAAAACTATGAACTGAATAACAACTTAAGAACGTAGGTGACAATTAAAGTTTATATGTACAAACACTAAAGATTTATCGTATGAACAAATTCATAAAATACAAATGTTATGAGCTTTTGCATAAATAAAATTAACGAATTGCGTATGAACAACAAATAATCTATGTATGAATTTTAAACCACATACGTGTAAAATTTTACATAAAAATTCATATGATCATGACATAAAAGTTGCATATGAAAAAAATCAAAATTTTATATGCTCAAAAAAAATGACGAATAATATCTAACCTTTGTCATTTGAGGCAAAAAATAATGTATGAGAAAAAATGAGGTAATCATTACATTTATGATCTGACCCATGTTAAAATATGATTTAAAATCTCTATTTAATATTATTTACTAATTAATAAATTTATCAGATTATAAACAAAGAAAAATAAATATATGAACAATGGGTTATGAATGAAAACGAAACAAAAAAAAAAAGTTTAGAATTAAAGAAAACGAAACAAAACAAGTTAATTAGAACTATCCCAAATGGCAAGAAGAAGAAAAAAAAAGAATTCAACCTTTTTTTTTGTCCTTGTTAATCAAATCCGACAACATTTAGACAAGAGTAGCTAAAATATTTTAGACATGATAATGGAAAGATTTTATTTCGCCAAGTTCATCAGCTCTAGATAATAGAGTTTGAGTTTATATTAAAGAGGAAGGTTTTGGGAGTTTTGGATGAGTTTAATTATCTGGAAAACTAATTTGAATCATAGATGAAAATTAAAACAAAAAGATTCCTATTTTTCCTCCTTAAAACTAATTTCTTAATTTTTTTCTATTCTTTTTTTTCTGCCGCGCGTGAAAGAAAACAGATTAGAGACCATGGTCTATATTGCAATAAGAACCATGGTCTACCATATAAGAATTGCACTTTCACTTGCAATCAATTGTAACATAGAAAAAATACAATCACATGATGATATAATATTCTCTTCATATTAGAAAAATAGTTCACATTAAGTTTTGAGATTTGTAAAAAAAATAATAAAACAAAATTAAAAACTCAATATGAACTTTTTTTTAGATAAAGAGACAATTATTTGTATTTTTTGTAATTACATAAAGTATAAGTACGAATTTTTTTTATGTATCTTAGTTTTTTGAGAAAAAAGTTACTTTTGAAACTTAAACTACTGCAGTACAGTATTTGCATTTTATTCCAAATCATTTCACCTTCTCTCACCCCGTTATTCAATTCCAATCCATAATGAGAAGGGAAAATATTGGCTTTGTAAACATCAATACAACAAGTAGTAAATTAAGGGTATGTTTATTTCGTTTTTTTGGTGCATGTTTTTAAGTGTTATTGTATTAGGAATGAAAAAAATATATTAAAAATATAAAAAACTATGTTGGGATAGGACAGTTATTATTTTATTAATCTAAAAAAACCATTAAAAAAACTATACAAATACATTCTTTGAAAAATGAAAAGAGCCATTTTTCATCGATTTCTTTTCCCCGCCAGGATAGGTCCTACCTCCTATTTTGCCATGTCGGCGTCCAGATTTTTTTAGAAAAAAAAAAGAAAGAAAAAGCATCACAGCGTACGGCGGAGAGAGGAGAGAATCCCAGTAAGAAAAAGCTTACGCAAAGGGAGACGGGAATACTCCCAATTCCAATTAAATGGTATACTATAAATAACTACCCGGGGCCGGTTGCCTGTATACAATTAATTTGGTTATCTTTACATTTAAAGAAAATTCAATGGTTGTGATTAATTTATTCTAATTTAACGGTTATTAATTAAATAATGAGACCATACCCTCAAAATTATCAACAAGACCTAGTTTTACCCTCCAATATTATTCCCTAATCATATATGCATAAATACCAGATGAATTTTTTTAAAAATAAATGAATGCGATTATTTCCTTATATCATTTTTTTCCTGTTACTTTTTCCATGCACATATCATTATTCAATTAAATAAACCCAAAACTAATTAAAAATATATTATGGGCATAAATATATAAAAGGAAAATGGTTGTTGAAATAATTGAAAATCATGATTTTGTATTATGATTAATGATTATTACGAATAACATTTGGGGCTTGGGTGTGAGCGGGATTTTTCCTTATCCTTATACTTAATATAAAGGTACAGTAGGCAAGAAATTAAATGTCCAAGAAATATTCAGGGCCATCTTCAAATCGATCTCGTCCACCGGATTGGTACGATCCAACGGCCAATATTAAGTCACTTATTAGGGGCAAAAA